TTTGGAAAAATTTGGGTTGGTTTAATAATATACCACATTTTCTTTATCCATTCATCCATTGATGGGCGCTTAGGTTGATTCCATATTTTGGCAATTGTGAATAGTGCTGCAGTAAACATGGGAGTGCAGATATGTCTTCAGTATATTGATTTTCTTTCTTTTAGATATATACCCAGTAGTGGAATTGCTGGATCATATGGTAGTTTTATTTTTAGTTTTTAGAGGAACTTCCATACTGTTTTCTGTAGCGGCCATACTAATTTATGCTCTCATCAACTGTGTGCGAGGGTTCCCCTTTCTCCATGTCCTCGCCCTGTCTTTTTGATAAAAGTCATTTTAACTGGAGTGAGATGATGTCTTCTTGTGGGTTTTATTTGCATATCTCTGATGATTAATGATATTGAGCATTTTTTTCATATACCTGTTGGCCATTTGTATGTCTTCTTTTGAGAAATGTCTATTCATGGAACACTGTCTAAAAAATAATTTTGTAAGAGCATAATTGTAAGAAACATGCTTTGGGGAAAATGCTTGCATAAAATTGAATTTAGTCATACAGTCTAAGGCATAACATTAGTTGATGGATTTAAACAGCTCTAATGACATAATTTCTTTTTTTTTTGAGACAGAGTCTCACTTTGTTGCCCAGGCAAGAGTGAGTGCCGTGGCGTCAGCCTAGCTCACAGCAACCTCAAACTCCTGGGCTCAAGCAATCCTCCTGTCTCAGCCTCCCAAGTAGCTGGGACTACAGGCATGTGCCACCATGCCCGGCTAATTTTTTCTCTATATATTAGTTGGCCAATTAATTTCTTTCTATTTATAGTAGAGACAGGGTCTCGCTCTTGCCCAGGCTGGTTTCGAACTCCTGACCTCAAGCAATCCGCCTGCCTCGGCCTCCCAGAGTGCTAGGATTACAGGCGTGAGCAGCCGTGCCTGGCCTAGTATTGATTGTTCACCACTGTGACCCCGTGGCTGACTGGGAGGTGCGGCTCCCTTGCCCTGCCCAGCACCACGAGAGTGTCAACCACACATCACTAGTCTTGGGAAATAACAAAATTCAAAATTTGAAGTGTGCTTTCTACTGAATACATATCACTTTTGCACTATGGTAAAAGTAGAAAAATCTTAAGTTGAACCATCAGAAGGTGGAGCCTTACTTTTTGTAAGGTTCTAAAATCAATCAACACATGTTGAGTCAGCACATCAGGTTAGGTGCTTTGGGGGTTGCTGTGAAGATTCCCGTCTTTATGGAGCCAAGTAGGGGAGTCAAGTTATAGGTAGAGAGATAGATATAGATTTATGTTCAAAGCTTTGCTTATTTTTTTTTCCTTTTCCCTTGCACTCCCTCTTCCTTTGCCTGATCCTTTTTCTTTCTGCCACTCTCCATGCTCTGAGCAACAGGGCACCTGCCACAGTGAGTGGAGTTGGGAAAACTTGGAGGGTTGCTTGCCTTACTTTTTCTTTCTCACTCTTTCCAGGTAGCGCTGGGGGCCTGCACTTTCCCCACCCACCTGGTCCAAGCCCAGAGTGGGTCCCAGCTGCAATGCCCGTGGCAGCACCATCGAAATTAAATAATAGTAAACGTATTATATTAGCTCATTAAATATGAAATACCCGATTTCGAATCAAAAGTTTAGTTTATTGTATCTCAAACAAGAAGCAGTATAATTAATCAAACTGTGTGTCAAAACTATGGACACAGTTTTGTCATCTTAATGGTAGCTTCTTTTTTTTTTTTTTTTTTTCTTACCCAAAACATTGCAGGCAGAATGGTAGCTTCTTTATGCCAGCAATGAAGAAGCCTGGAGAGCCAGTGGTGATGAAATTATAAAAGGTGTTTTCCACAGCTTGTTGAGAATTGAATATTTTTGCTTGTAAGAAGTGGTCCAAAGCCTGGAAGAAGTGGTAGTCAGTTGGTGCAATGTCTGATGAATATGGTAGATGCCAGAGAGTTTCCAGGTCCAGCTTCTGTAGTTTGAGCAGAGTTGTTTTTTGTTATATGTGGTCTTGCAAGAGGATCGGCCTATCTCTGTTAACCAATCTCAGCTGCTTAATCACAAGCATCCCCATCATTTTGTCCAAGTGGTTCAGTAGACATCTGCTGTAATGGATTGACCAGGTTTCATGAAGCTGTAGTGGATAATACTAGTTTGGACCACCAAACAGACACCATTAGCTTTCTGTGATGAATATTTGGTTTTGGACTATGTTTCAGCACTTCATCTTTATCCGACCATTGTGTTGAATACTTGGGATTGTCAAAAAGAATCCATTTTTCATCACACGTAACAATGTGGCATAGAAATGGGTCGCCTTTGTGTTGTGACAGCAAAGAAAGACAAACTTCAAGATGATTTTTCTTCTGATGCTTGTTTAATTCATAAGGTACCCATCTATCCAGCTTCTTTGCATTGCTGATTTGTTTCAAACAGTCCAATATTGTTGGAATAGTAATGTCAAACCTTGCTGCTAATGCACATGTAGGTTGAGATGGATTCTCTTCCACTACAGTTTTCAGCTCATCATTATCCACTTTGGTCTCAGGTTGCCCACGTGGCTCATTTTCAAGATTAAAATCACCAGAACAGAACTTCTCAAACCATCGACGTACTGTGCATTCATTAGCCACATCCTTCCCAAGCACTTTGTTGATATTTCAAGCTATCTCTGCTGTGTTGGTTCCAGGACGGAACTCATATTAAAATAACGTGAATTTTTGACTTATCCATGGTTTCACAAAAATTGCTCTAAAAAAATAATTTCAAAGATAATCTCAAGTCAAAACGTCTGTTTATACCTTCACACAAAAAAAGAAGTACCAAAGTGAAATGTCAGGGATATCAACTGTCAAACCTAGTACTTAAGGAAATTGGCATTTCATACCCAATAACCTAATATCTTGCTATAGAAGTAGAGTGGTTTAGCCCAGCCGCGCCTGGAGTTGGAGGCTGCAGTGATGTATGATCATACAACACAGTGAAACCTCTTTAAAAAAAAAAAAAAAAAAAAAAACTTGAAGAAGAAAAAGAAGGCAGTGCTGCTAATATACATTCTTACAGAATGTCCAATTCCATATCCTCAAAGAACTTGTATTCTAGTTGTGAAGGGAGCCAGTAAACACAAATGTGAAGTCAGGTAGTGAGAAGTACTGTGAAGAATAGAGCAGAGGGAAAGAATGAAGAGTGACAAGGGCAGGGCTGGGGAGTGGAGAAGTGTTATAGTTGATAGACTGTTCAAGGAAGGCATGTCTGAAGAAGTGAACATTCAGAGACCTCAGTCAAGTCAGCAAATGTGATGTGATGGCCTGGAACTCTCTTCTCCAGAAGACTGAGCTTTGTGTGTTCAAGGAATAAGCAGGAAGGCCAGTTTGACCAGAGCAGAATGAGAGAAAAGGCAAATGATAGGTCAGGTTAGAAAGATGTGAAGCCTGTTGTTATTCTGAGAGTAAGGGGAAATCTTTGGGTTTTTTGTTTGTTTGGTTGGTTTTTATGTTATTTGTTTTGTTTTGGAAGCCTTTGGTTTTGTTTTTATGTTTTATTGGACAAAATTTCCAACATCTACAAAGGTCTAGAGAGTGTCATGTATTGAATCTCTAATATCCATCACCCAGCTTAAACAATTATAAACACTTGGACAATCTAGTTTCGTCTGTACCTCTGCCTACCCCACACACTTTACCTGGCACCTGGATTATTTTGAAGCTGATCCAAGACATCATTTCATGTCTTCCATATCTATTTCAGTATGTATCTCTGAATGTGATGACATTATCACATCTAAGAAAACCCAGTGATTTCTTAATAGTATTCAAATTTTCTCCACTGTCTCAAGTTTTGTTTTATTTTCTCATTGTGCTCTTATTCTGAAGTCTCTTTTAATCAATAGGTTTCTTCTCTGTCTCGTTCTCATTTTTCCTCTTACAAATTAAAGAAACCAGGAGGTTTGCACTATAGTCTCTCATATTTTGGATTTCACTGATTGCATTGCTGTGGTGTTTTTAAAGTATTTTCCTCTGTCTACTATATTTCTTGAAAACATGTACTTAGATCTAGAAGCTTGATGAAATTGGGTTCAATTTTTTGGCAAGAATACTTTATAGTGTTATGTGCTTACATAAAAAGAAATATAATGTTTTATTTATGTCTTCTTAATATGTAAGAGGCCATTGATTATCCCCAGATCTATTAATTTATTAATGCATCATTGTAAAATGCTGGTATTTTAATTCTATCCTTTAATTATTTTCTAGAGAACTTTCTATGAAGAGAAACCTGAGATACATTAATAGTTTGTGTAGGAAAGGCAGGGTAAAGGATTGATCCTTTCCATTAATCTATGTGTATATGTATGTATATATGTATGAATGAATGAATGAGACAGAGTTTGACTCTGTAGCCCAGGCTGGAGTGCAGTGGCACCATCACAGCTCACTGTAGCCTTAAACTCCTGGGCTCAAGTGATCTCTCTGCCTCAGCCTTCTGATTAGCTGGGCCTGCAGGTGTTCACCACCATGCCAGCTTTTCCTTTTATTAACTGGATTTTAAAATAACGAATTGTTTCCCTAGCATCCTTGAAAAACGACCTATGAGTATTTTATTTTAATATAGTATGTATTCATAGATTATAACACTTTTATGTGTTTTAATCTATTGCCATTATTATTCATTTTTCATGTTCACATTGTCATGTTTTTTACCAGCTTCTTGAAATTGACAGAGTTCTTTTGTCAAGACCCAGTAGTCACAGATAGCTTCTGTACTTTCTGGTGTGAAAAGATATCCAGGTTCATCTTCTACATTTTCTGCCCCAGATCTGAAATCAGCCATTTCTTAGAGGAATCTTAGTTCTTTTTAGTGGAAAATTATATTTAGCATTCACATTAATTGATATATTACTAAAAGTATCAAGACATTATTTTATTTATGGTTTTTTAAATTATAAAGTAATGAAACTGTTATGATGTTTTATCTTAAAATTACAGAGTTTCTGTTCTTTAACAGGATTGGCGAGCGTGCCATTCTACTGGGAGGACTCATCGTTGTCTGGGTTGGCTTCTTTATCTTGTTACCTTGGGGAAATCAATTTCCCAAAATACAGTGGGAAGGTATAGCCATACATATTTCTATAATGTTAGCCTCTGTTATTTATCTAAAATTAACAAGTAAAGCACTATACTAATTTTGTTTTTACAGATTTACATAATAATTCAATCCCTAATACTACATTTGGGGAAATTATTATTGATATTTGGAATTCTCCAAGAGAAGATCACAATGAAAGACCAACTGGTTGCCCAATTGAACAAGCGTGGTGCCTCTATACCCCAGTGATTCATCTGGCCCAGTTCCTCACATCAGCTGTGCTAATTGGAATAGGCTATCCAGTTTGCAACCTTATGTCCTATACATTATATTCAAAAATTCTAGGACCAAAACCTCAGGTAAGCCAGCCACCCTGACATCAAGATTTGGTGAAATATACTTGTAGGCACTTAGTTTTTTTGTTACTATTCTCTATTTTTACATAGGCTGGTTTGGGGGATTTTTGTCATATTCAGCATTTTAAATTAAAAAAAACACTTTTATAAAGTATTTATGAAATTTATCTGCTGAAATTTAACAAACAGTATCTAAGAACTCAAAGATGTGTTGAACTCAGAGATTATGGAGCTCAAAATCATTTTCTTTTCATAGAAAAGAAAAATCTGAAGCATAAATTTCTGAAACACATTCTTAAACTAGACAACAGTTAGGGAATCAAAATTAATAGTGAAATTTGGATCTAGTCTTAATTTCATCTGGCCCCAGAGCAATTACTAAGAGATGAAAACACAACAGTCTTAAAAGTTTACTGCAGCTATGTATATTTTATAATTTTTTGAATAATAATTTCCATATTTATTATATAACATTAGAAAAAATATAGAAGCAAAATGAAAAATACCAATGAGACAATTACTACTAACATTTTGGCACTTCTAGTCTTTTATTTCTGCCTATGTGACTGGTTATATGTGTTTAATACAAACATAGGATTATATCATGGATATTATTTTATAATTTACTTTTTAAAAAAAATAACCATGTTTTGTGAATATTCTCCCATGCCATTAATGTTCTTTTAGAGAATTTTTCACAATGGAAACATTGTATTCTGTTTTATATGTGTATCATCATTTATTATAATCATTCTCCTTTTATTGTACATTTAGATTATTTACAGGTTTTGCTTCCAACTCTTTTTAGCAGCAGTTATTTAAATGGCCACAAAATAAAAATATTATCTTCCTCTTTAAAGATTAAACTGATAGCTTTACATTTTAAGAGCAGAAATTATTGTTTTTGGAAATTTGGAAATTATTGTGTTTTGAAATTATTGTTATTGGAATAATGCAAAGATGAAAAAATTTAATATCTGTGTTTTTAAGCTTTAAAGAGTAGGTAAGATTTTGGTAATCATTTCTGCATTTGTTTTTAACCTAATAGCTTGTATTTTCAAATTTTCAAAATTAAGAATAAAAGTATATTAATTACAAAAGCAATTCATGATGGTTGTAACAAAATTCAAAGAAATTAGAAATGTATATAACAGAAAAGGAAGACTCCTTTTAGCCTCACTGTATCAAAGTCAACCACTATTAACTTCATTTGTTCCCTTCAAGACATTTTTCTATGCCTATTCAAATATAGGCTTAACATCTTTTACTTAATATTTTATAGATTTCCTTCCATGTCAGTGCATGTAGCTGTTATTTTTATTCTGTGATCTGACTCTATAGAAGACCTCATTTCTTTAAATATCTGCTTAGCATTCCAGTCATTAAATATACCATAATTTATTTACTTCATCCATCATTGACATTTAGGCTGTTTTCAGTTTGGGGCTATTAAAAGTAATGCAGCACTGAACATCTCTGGGTAAATTTGTATGCATTATGGTTTTGGAGACAGTAGTCATAGGAGTGTCATTGTGGTACAGTGGAGTCAGCCAAAAAGGGCTTCAGATCTCTCTTAAGTTACTTAAACTTTTTGAGTTTCTGCTTCCACATTTGTTAAATGGAGATAACACCTGTTGTTGAAATTTGTGAACATTACAAATATGTATGTAAAGCACCTACCTCAGCATCTGGCGCGTAGAGGTACAAAATAAATGTTAGCTTTAAAAGATGTATTAATCAGTTATATTGTTCCCAGGGCTTTGGCAGATGTTGTTTGTCCCTTTACAATCCTTTTATTTTTCTTACACTGACTTAATATCAAATAAGCTTATTGTTCATTATTTTCTGTATTTATAGAGAGGCATTTTATGTTTAATTTAAAAGTAAAAGATGGAGAAGTAGTTCTTGTAAGTTTGCCATCGTTTGGTAATAGCATTATCTCTGTTTTTAAATAATTAAACCTGAATAACAATCTGCTTGTCCCCCACATCACCCCCACAGGGTGTGTACATGGGCTGGTTAACAGCTTCTGGAAGTGGAGCACGGATTCTCGGGCCCGTGTTCATCAGCCAAGTGTATGCTCACTGGGGACCACGGTGGGCATTCGGCCTTGTGTGTGGAATGGTGGTGTTCACCATCACACTCCTGGGAGTGGTTTACAAAAGACTTATTGCTTTTTCCATAAGGTATGGGAGGATTCAAGAGTAAACTAGCTAAGACTGTGATGGAAAGTATTAATATTTGCTGTGTGGCACTTTCAAGTCTAAGATTCTATTAGACAATTGTCATGAGCCAGCGAGTCTCCACAAGTCAGGCTGTGAATATTGCGTATATTGAATAACAAGAACATATATTGCATAATAGAGGGAATTCCACATGTTATTGTGAATAGTAGGTTATATAAAAAATTCTATATTGTAATTTCTTTATCTCAAAAATGAAATATTCTTATAATACCTTTTTGGGGTTGCATGAACTAGTGAGTGAATGGATAATGGTCTATAAATGTGAAGTTCTACTCCTAATACAGATGCAGAGGTGTCATTAAAATAATGAGGGAATATCTATGTAGTGGAACCAGAAGGAAAGTTCTGTATGAATTAGCTATAACAGAATAAAATTAAATAATTTTTTTTACCTAAATAGAGGTATTTTTATTCAAAGATACTTTGAATTTTTTATTTATTTATAAATAATCTTTTTATTTATAAAAATGCATTTCTTACTATCAGGTTTCCTTATGAAATAAAAATTATGACCCTTAAATTTTCCATTTAACGTGCATGTCATCCAAACTTGCCTTCTATAAGTCTTGATGCTAATACTGTATCTCTGCCTTATTTTAGTTCAGGATCTCACTAACCCCTAAATTAATAAACGAGTAAGAATAATGCTAATATTTGAACAATAAAGAGGATTAAGAGATCAAGATGATTTCACTACTTTTAGTAGCGCTAAATACATTTTTCTTTCAAATACCAATAAGTAATTCACTTTAGAAATATAAGCCAGATATGTGTTATTGTATACATATACTGAACACTAAATGGTTTTTTTTTTTTTTTTTTTTTTTTTTGAGACAGAGTCTCGCTTTGTTGCCCAGGCTAGAGTGAGTGCCCTGGCGTCAGCCTAGCTCACAGCAACCTCAAACTCCTGGGCTCAAGCAATCCTCCTGGCTCAGCCTCCCGAGTAGCTGGGACTACAGGCATGTGCCACCATGCTCGGCTAATTTTTTCTATGTATATTAGTTGGCCAATTAATTTCTATTTATAGTAGAGATGGGGTCTCGCTCTTGCTCAGGTTGGTCTCGAACTCCTGAGCTCAAACGATCCTCCCGCCTCGGCCTCCCAGAGAGCTAGGGTTACAGACGTGAGCCACCACGCCCGGCCCACTAAATGGTTTATTAAAATTACTGCTATTTTTCAACTCCCTTAAACTCTGAAGAAACATTTTCACTTTCATTAGGTATTTTTCCCATCTTTCTGTAGCTGTGGGGAGGAACACAACAGTTTTCAATCTGTCTCCATAGTTATTTAAAACTGCAGAATTTTAGTTGGATTTTAAATGCACATGGATTCTGACAGCTACAATATAGTCAGGCTAATAAGCATTTGAGGTAAAATAGTTTTAATTTAACAGTTCACTGAGTTTACCCGAAGTTGGCTAAATTACACTCTCTGTATATATTTCTACCTCTACATAAGTTGAATGCTGATAAAAAGAACTAGTAGATAACTATGTATATGGATAATCAATGTTATAAACACTGAAAAAATATTTCTACCTTCCCAAATGTTTTCTTAAGTTATCAATATTTTTAAATCTAAAAGTAAACACTAAAATCTGTACTTTCTATGAAATTTGCTGTGCTCTTAAACCCAATTTCTTCAGCTCTACTAGAAGACTTAATTTGACAGAAATCATTCTATGACTACAATTTGGAGATTGTTTTCACTCTTTTCCACCTTCCATAGCAAGACTGGTTCTGTAGATTTAGCAGAACCACAGCCAGGTTTCTAGCTAATTGGTCAAGTCCTGGGATTCCTCTTACCTATTGTTTTGCAGCTACTTCCTCTTACATTTTTTGGGTCACTTCTAATCTTAAAGAGTAAACTCCATCCACCCTTGGTTTGGATAGTGTACAGAAATAACAATGGTAATGATGAAAATGATAAGAAGAAACATTTATAGAGTTCTTTCCATATATTCCAGGTAATGTGTCACATACAATTTAATTCTCACAGTGGTCTTTGGGTGAAGATACTATTATGATTCCCATTTTACAGATGAAAGAATGTAGGCACAGAGAAGTTACTTGTCAAAGTAACAGTCTGTCTTCTGAGTCTAGACTTCTAACCACTGTATTTTTCATAGTGGAGAAAATAGCACAGCAAGTTGCAATATCAGTTAATTACTAATTGTAGGGTAAATTAAGTTAACCTATACCAGTGACTCCTATTAACAGAATATTTGGGAAACAAGCTCACTGGCAGGCTTTTGTGTTAGCATAATAGCCTGTTTCCAGCAAAAATATAACAGAAAGTTTCCCAACTTCTAAAGATTTATAATATTGTTTAAAATGCAAATAAACTATATCCTTGCAAAAATGACTGCCACCTTCCTTTTTATTGAGAGCACTTTCTTCTTTAGAGGTTTATACCTGTCCTTATCTTGGCACAAAAGATGACAGATAAGGAAATGATGGGGGTTGGAGAAAGAGCAGGGAGGTAAAGTTTGAGAAAAAAAATCACTCAGTTGACTTCTTGAGTAGGACCAGTTGAATATAAATTGAAAAAGATGATAGGAGATTTTAAGGTATGAAAAACTGTTAAGAATAGAATATACTTAAGAAAAGAAGATATGTTTTTGAAAACCTTAACTTGAGAAGGGTGGTTTTCAAATTCTGAAGGGATTTGTAACTTCACAAAGTATCTCCATTCTATCTTGTTCAGCTTGTCTAAATTAAAACAAAACAAAACAAAACTTTTCTAGTTGGTATTTTCCCATACATAAAATTAAATAAATCTGTATATAATTTTTTGTTTTAATGAGAATAAACTAAGTTATTTGTGTCTGTTCAAAAATAGATTAACTTATTTTAAGAAAAAATACTGTGTACCATTTTTGACTATTGCAGGCTTATTTGTAAGTTAAAGTAATTGTGAATGTTCATTTTCTAATAAACAAGATTATTTTGTATATGTACTTTAAGCTTTAAACTTTATTCAGTATCGCTTTCAATACATATTCAAGGGGGTACCACTATGTGTCAATTACCAGATAATTGTTGGAGGTTGAGCAATAAATGAAATACACAAAGCTCCTGTCCTCATGAGGATTACATCCCAGCAGGAAAGTCAGGTCTTAACCAAATGATCACACAGATGACTGTAAGATCTTGGAGCTTTTGCAGAGCTAAAAATAGATCCAAGGTGGGTAGAGGCTAATAATTGAGAAGACGTCTCAATATTAGTTGAGGCTATAAAGGGATAATGCAAGGCATTATAGGTTCAAAGTATTAGGGCTTCTTTTCATGCAAGTAAGAGTTAGGAATTCTGACTTTAGGCATAGTTGGAGCTAGAAGTCCAAATGTCATCAGGGCTCTCATTCTTTAGGTACCACATGCCTCTGCTTGACTTTATTTCCAGATGCTGTCCATGTTGTGGGAAGATGGCACTGGCAGTCCCAGGCTTGCAATATCTTTATAGCTCACAATTCCAGAGAAATATGGCTTGGGCAGAAGAGCCAAAAAGACTAAGTAGTCAAGTTCAGCTTACATACCCGTCCCTGAACTGACCATATGGATGGGGGATAGAATCCTCTGCTAGCCCAGGCACGGATCATGTATCCATTCTGGAAATGCAGTTGGCTGTGTGTGGGAGGGAGGTGGAGAAAAAACCCATCAGATTATCAAAGGTCCAGGGACTAAACAGATTTATAATTGGATGGAGAAGAGGAGGTTCTACCAAAGAAAGCTTTGCTGACAAAAAATACATGTCCACTACCTCTCCCAACTGCTTTCACATCATTGCAGTCAGGAAATACTGTATGTCACATTGTGGAAAATGGATGAAGCTGCTTGTACCCAGTTTCTTTAGCCAACACAGGTGCTGCCAATCAACCCTGAGCCCTAAAGGGAGCAAGTTACCATTTGCCAGTATAACCTACTTGTGATACACCAATGTTAGAAAGCATGGTACTAAACCTTGTGAGGTAATTTGTACTTTAAGAAAAGTGGGAACATATTTAAGGTAACATGTTCTCTAAAAATAAACATGGGTTCCTTGTATAAATAGCTGATTTCAGATCGAGGGCAAGAAGAGCTTGAGACATTTATTGTGCCAAAGAGCAGGGCAGTTGACAAAGAGTACTGAAGTATTGACAAAAGGACACAGGAGTCAAAGTGAGTCTTGGCCCCAAATGGGGTAATTAAAGCATTAAAAAGGGTGGTTGGCCGGGCGCGGTGGCTCACGCCTGTAATCCTAGCTCTCTGGGAGGCCGAGGCGGGCGGATTGCTCGAGGTCAGGAGTTCGAAACCAGCCTGAATGTATTTATTCGGATTTATTTATTTATTGTATTTAGTTTATTGTATTAGTTTAATTTATTTTGAGACAGAGTCTCGCTTTGGTATGCCGGCAGGGCTAGGTGGCGTGCCGCTGGCGTCAGCCCAGGTCACGCAACCCTCAAACTGCTGGTCGGGTGTTGCCTGTGTGTGTTTGGTGTGCATCAGTGCCCTGCTAATTTTTTCGGTAG